CTAATTGAAGGCTCAATTTGCCATCGTCCATTGCCGGTAGCTCACAGCCCTGCCCGTACACACACAGCCGACGAGAGCACAGTCCTCCACGCATCGTGGTAGACGTGTAGGAGGATGGGGCAGTGAGTGGATGGGTTGTGCAAACCCATGCTCTGTCAGCAATCCAGTGAATGAGGTCATTAATGTGAAGTACAGAAGGCGCGCGTGTGACGCGTTAATTGGGTGGGTCATGGTCATCTGGTGTCAGGGTGTGACTTGTGCCATCGTCCTGCTCATTAACTTACATGATTTGTTCACTTTCCACTTGATTGTCCTTTAAAGTGGACGACAAGCTCCTGCTTTGGGACAAGCCAACCTACTGTGCCCAGTGGTGGACGCAAAGCCTTGCTTTAAAATGCGTGTGTTGCAGACAGTCGCGTCCATCTGACAGGTGCCTACACGATGTGGGATGCAGATCCGCCCGTCTTGCTCTCCATCAACTGCATTATCTTAGCAAACGCAGTTCGAAAGTAACTGTCGTTAAAACAAATTTGGAAGAAGAGAAACATCACGCTGGAAATACTTCCAGGTGTCTACAAATTGTCTATCAACGTGTATGACGCCGAGCGCCCAAGGGCGAGCGTCACATGCAACATGGGCCAGCAAGGTGCTCTCGGTGCTACCTGTTCTAAAAAGAGTAGATGGTGTGTTCGCCTAGTTACCTGTTGACCCACCCACCTCACTGTGGCATGACTGCCCATGATTCTACAGCAAACTCTCTACTCATTTGATCGTTATCGGGGTGTAGGCACACCTTTTCAACGGGGATTTTGCGTCATTGTAGTTTGCACAAGACGGTTAAGCATTTCCTTCCTCTGATAACAAGTTAAAGTGATATCATTCTAGGAAGGAAAAACAACTCGGACTGAGGAACTTCGTGAAGAAGTAAAGACTTGAGTACAGTAGCACAGAAGGCAAATCCTTGCAAAACCACAAACGCAAGACGTCAGTAAACTAAAGAATTCATAAAGGAAGTTGAAATGTGGTAAAATATCTACGCTGAGGGTTTGGAGCGGCCCTTTATTGACAAAGTTTGCTCTAGTAAAGGAATACTTAAGATCAACAAATAATGCCTTCCACATTTGATTATGCGTCAGTTTACAATGCCATGTCGCATTGCTTTAAACAACAGACCTGATATTGACGCAGTAAATGCTGATTTATTACTACGATGAAGCAGTATTTTAGAG